TGAGAGGGCAGCGTTACCAGAGTTGCCCATATACTAGGGTTTATAAAACAAGTCAATAGAACTGAAAAATAATAGATAATGCAAGTGTTAGAAGGTAATTATTTATAATAAATAAAAAGAAAATGAGTAGAAAGAATAGAGAATGCTAGTGTTAGAGGCTCTTCTTTCTTTATATATAAAACATGTAGTTAGAATAGAAATAGAACAGAGAGTGCAAATGTTAGAGGGTCAAGTTTTTAAATAAAAAAACAAGGAGATAAAATTAGAAGTAGCATTAGAATAGAGAGTGCTAGAGTTAGAGGGTCAAATGAAGATGAAAGAGATGAGTTTTCAGCCGTTTCTTGAAAATATTAAGGACTGCTTGGATTGAGTTGGGCAGGTCATTCCACCAGGAGGAAACAGTTAATGAAGTAGTCCATGAAAGTTTTATCATAGGTAGAATGCAAAATGTTTCAATACAAGCGTTTCAGTCAAATGTAATTTATGCAATAATTCAAACCTTTAACCCACTTGGTAAAATCAACCCATGGCACAGTTTAAAAGTAGGCCTAGCCCAATTCTGAGGAAAGAACGCGGACTTGGCAACCCTGCATCCAACAAGAGCTGCAGGAGTCAGATTTGACTGATCACAGGTCGAGAACAAGGAGATATGACTGACAATGACCATGCTTGAGTATTTGCTGCTCAACAGATCCTGAGCTCATTGAAAAATATCTGATCTTGTAAGATGTGCTCTCTTAACACAGAGTGCCTGTGATCGAGAAATCGAAAGTGAAAGTAAACAGCGCAAACGCTCATTCAAAATAGATTTAAATAATCCGCATACTGAGAGCGGCTCCCTGAAGTGCCAAAATTGCATACAATATTAGAATGTTAACGAAATAGCGGGAGTGAAACACATGTTTCACAATGGTCAGAGATTCAGCGGGAGCGGGATTACGAAAACAGCCGAATCCCGGACATTTTGGGCAATTAAGAAATCCCGGCCGGACGCATTTTTGTAGGTCCAAAAAAGGACATGTCCGGGGAAAGGAGGGCGTATGGTCACCCTACCATATACCACACCATGTAACAGCACAGTAGGGCTATTGCAAACAGAAACAATACTGTACTACATAGATGTTTCATGTCGGCTCGATTTTTGAGTGGATTTTGCTGTTCCGATGAGCATGAACGATATATGAGTGGAGCAAGCGGAGCGCGGGATAATACGCAGAGCGTCACACCAAGTGAAAGTGAAATCTGAGCAGTGAACTAATTTTCGGCAGCCGGAATTTCGGTGCATCTCTAATTATTGGCGACATCAGAAATGGATATTATATCATAGATACTTTTTTTAACATTTTAGCAATTTAAAAATATTAAAAAATGATTTTTTTACAGGGCACCCCTGCTCTGACAGGCGGCACCCCGGTTGGGAAACACTGGCTAAGTGACACCTGAAGCAGCTGCTGTAACTTTTTATCACTGGTTGGCCAGTTTACATGTCAATCAGAAGTACGAGCCTCAGTTGGCGGTTCTTGTCGGGAGTGAATGACAATGCAAGTAGACACTGTTGGATGTGCATAAAGCAAATCTGCGGTACTAATAGTAATTATTTTAATGCGCATGAAAACTCAGTGATGATTCGTAAAGGGCATAGTAATAACATTCGGGGCTTCAGCCCCCTTAGCCCACCCCTAGCGCCGCCCCTGTCAGACACTCTCGCTGTGCTGTTTTGTTGCGGTCGCACATCGGACGAGAAGCACAGTGGTGCCCCGGTGCAACACGTATCACACACTGAAAGCGTCACATCAGCAAACGGGATGAGAAATTGCGATCTATAGCACAATGCATCTCGGAATTTATTACAGCCACAGAAAGACAAATGTTTTGCTAAAAAATGCACAATACACAATCTTCCAACCTAGGATGAAGTCATAATGTACATTAACAATAATTTGGGACAAATATAATGTAATTAAATGGAAAATGATGTGAGAGGGGCTGAGGCGCTCTGTGGCGCGGCAGGATTATGAACAGCGCCCGGAGTCGGGATCCGCGGACAGTCGCCGGTGTGCATACAGTTATGGAAAACAATGTGTGGGAATTTTAAAGACGTGGTGCGGTGCAGTGCAGGGCTGCACATGTCGTCCGGTGTACGACCACCTTAAGGCTGGATAGCCTCTTGTTTCTGAGGTGGAATGGTCAAAGATGACTTTTAGAAGATTCTTTTATTGTTACGAGCAGTGGTATGGTTACCATTCATTGCTTGGAGTTCACAAGATGATGTTCATCCATGAACTGCATCTTTACTTCACCTTGTGGATCTCTTGGATCTCATGCACGAGGATTGTAAAGATGTAACTTTGTCTTTTTGGAGTTGCCTACATATGGGATTTATTCTTCTTGGATTGGAGTTGTTCTATGTTCAAGACCATTATCGCCATCTTTACTGGACTGTATCTTGCATCAGTGGACTATATCAGATAAGGCTTTTATGTTGATTTCAACTCATGCACTGTTGTTACAACTGGCTTGATATCAGGCTGTATTTTTGTTGTTTTGTTTTTTTGTTTTGGCCCTTAGGTCTCCCAGTCCGTGAAGCCCATTTACAGCTGAGCCTCCCTACATTCGTTCAATCTGTTTCTTTCTAACATTCTCATTTGTTTGTTTGATGGTTGGTTTATATAAAATTGTCTTTAAAAAAAAGTCTTATGTGAATTATACCTGGTTTAGATTATATCTATGTAGTTGGCGGTTCCCTTCCTTAAAAATCAGACCTATAGCAGTCTTACACTTAATGTGGTTAAGGTTGGTTATAGAACAATTTACATCTATATCTTCAATAAATCTGGTAAACAAATGCTTAGCAGGGTAACATTTGTGCAGTATCTTAAATGAAATTTCTTTAATTTTATTTGTAATGAGATATTTATTAGGTAATACCCAAACTTTTCTCCAATTAATATTTCCAATAAACTTAGACCAATAGAAAATAGCACTTGGTTTACTTACAATTTATTTTTGAAATAATAAACGTATAGCCTTATTTTTTATTTTTTTGGTAGATGAAAAACAAATTCTGCACAGTAAGTGTCAGCAGGGTGAAGTAAAGAAGCATGTTTAGAGTATGAAATACCTCTACATAAAGACACAATACTACAAGAGATAGCTCCAATTACAGAGGCATATTCTTTTGGGGTTACAGGGAAATTAAAATATGAAAGAAATTCATCATAAGTCATTAAATACCCATGAGAATTCAACAACTGTCCTACCAAAAGAATCCCTTTATCAAACCAGGTTTTCATAAATATACTCGTGTTTATATACAGAATATTACAATTATTCCAGATATAATACTGGTGTGGAGAAAAATTGTGCTTGTAAATTAACTTCCAAGCCAAAAGTACTTGCCTGTGAAAAGCTGACAATTTAACAGGCAGTTTATCAATTTTGTAATCACACATGAACAAAAACGAGAGACCACAAAGTTGGTCAAAAACAGTACTAGATACTGAATTCCACACAGAAGAAGAGTTTTTAAAAAAAAAATACTTCGACCAGTTAATTTTGAAAGTGTTATTTAAGATAGAAAAATCGAAATAATCAAGACCACCATTTTTATATGAATTAACTACCACAGATTTCCTAATATAATGCACACTGTTTTTCCACAAAAAATGTAACATTGTTTGATCAATTATCTTATTTATTTTACTATCTGAATGAATTGAGGAAGCAAGCCTAGAGATACCTTGTGCTTTAGCCAGCAGAGCACGACCTTTGAGAGATAAATTCCTCTGTAACCAAATATTAAATCTGCTCTTTACTTTTTTGATCACAGGATTGAAATTTAGTGAGATTCTGTCCTGTTCATCTTTGGAAATAGCCATACCTAAATAGATTGGAGCATCCTTTACAGGAATATTACAAACAGATTTGTCATGGCAACTCTTCAAGGCAAACACTTCACATTTTTATAAATTCAAGCAAAGACCCGAGGCACTGGAAAAAATTTCAATAATTTTGATAGCCGACTGAATTTGACAAGCATTTTTTTAAAAAGAGCCATGTCATCGGCCAATTGACTTAACAAGACACTTCTCCCTTCAACTTGAACTCCTTCTAACTCACTTGATTTAAAGACCCATCTCCGTAACCTGGTTTACACATAACACACTAACATATTTCTAATATTCAAATCCGTTAAAGGATTTTTAGGCTGCATTAATTAGGCCAACCGGAACCCGGGACACTTCCCATAACACCCGATGAACTTGCTACATCATTACAAGAATGGCATCTATGCTAATATTAGTCTGTTTCCTTCTTATTCCGAGGTCACCGTAGCCACCAGATCCAGTGTGTATCCAGATCAGATGGTCACTGCAGTCACCCGGATCCAGTCTGTATCCAGCCCAGATGGTGGATCAGGACCTAGAGACGACCTCTACAGCCCTGAATGTCAACGGAGATCAGGACAACTATATGAGCCCCAGAGACAGATCCCCAGTGAAGACCTTGTCTCCTAGACGACCACCGGGACAAGACCACAGAAACCAGTTGAGTCATCTGCACAATGTGAATTTGCTGCAGCATGGTTTGTATAATAATTTATTTGTTACCAATAATCATTAATAATGGAAGATTACATCAGTTGTTATTGCTACTAAGATTTCAGTTCCAGAAAAAAAAAGAAGAAGAAGAAGAGAAAGCCATTAATGTGTTATTTGAAGAAAAATGTGTGATTGGTTTAGTCGAAGCATATCCTTGATTGCACAAAAAAAACTAGGCATTGCTTTTTTATTTATTTATTTATTTATTAAAAAGTAGATGTAATTACAATATACTTACCTAAGAAAGTAATGGGTAGTTTAAAGTAACTACATGGGTGAAGGTTAGGTTTAAGGATATGTTCAGCGTTCATATTTACTTCATATTTTTTAAAATGTTTTTTTCTTTTTAAAGTGAATTTTACAAAATCTTTGTCAGTGCATTAGTCAGTGCACTGTAAAAAAGTGGTAAACTGCAATTTAACCCATAACAATTAGTCTTGTTGGTACAGATTAAGTGCAGCGAGCGTGCAGCGTGTTAGCATTCGTTAGCCGGTTAGCTTGTAATTCACAATTCCATCCACGTCTATTGCGGGTTTCTTTTTTTTCTCTCGCTCCGTTTTTTCACTAGTTCATCAAACAACAGTGGTAAGTCAGAATCATTCATCAATGATGGTGAGTAATGGCTTCTTTTCCTGCTATTGTTGCTTGCACCGCTTGCCACATGTATAGTTTAGCTCTCTCTGTCGGCGACGAGGGATTCACGTGATAAATGCAGGGAAATAGTTAGAAACACGCATCCAAACTTTAATTGAGGACAGTAAGAATGTGAGGGCTCTAGATATGGCTTTGGATGCGACTAGCTCATTGAGTCCTGTACATTGTTCGGTTCCGGTTACAGAGCCTCCGCAGCAGGGCGACTGGGTACTGTAGTCAAGCCAGCCGACACTCCAAAATGCACGGTCAATCTAGCCGCCGCGCTGTTTTGCTGTGCGTGCATATACTGTGCATTATGGCGATCTTCCGCGTGCATTCATTTTTGTTTGTTTGTTTTTTAGTGCTTAACTTATACATACAAACAAGAACAGGGAAATAAGACATTGTTCTATCTCTTATAAATCACATCACTCAGCCAGTTTATATGTCAAAATGAATGAAGAAATATGCATATTAAAGAAAAAGTTAACGATTTAATCAACATAAATGAAGATAAAACATGCAAATTGTCAGGATTATGGGCCTGTTATGCCCGTTTCTGTTTCAGTGTTCCCTTATTTGGTCATGTTCCTGTTCTCGTTGTCTCATTATTAGTTGATTCCCCGCACCTGTCTGTCCCTCGTTAAGTTTAGTATAAATGTGTAATCTGCCTCGTGTTTCCTTGTTGGGTCTTGAACGTCTTCCTTGTGCTCTGTGTTGGATTATTAAAGACGTTGCGACCTAATTACGACCTATGCTCTCAATGCCAAATGCAGAAATGTTAATTCAAGCTTTCATGACCTCAAGGTTAGATTATTGTAGTGCTTTATTGGGTGGTTGTTCTGCACGTTTAATAAACAGACTCCAGCAGGTCCAAAATGCAGCAGCTAGTGTTGTTACTAGAACCAGGAAGTATGACCATGTTAGCCCGGTTCTGTCAACACTGCACTGGCTCCCTATTAAACATTGTATAGATTTTAAAATCTTGCTTATTACTTATAAAGCCCTGAATGGTTTAGCACCTCAGTATTTGAATAAGCTCTTATTGCATTATAGTCCTTCACGTCCGCTGCGTTCTCAAAACTCTGGCAATTTGATAATACCTAGAATATCAAAATCAACTGTGGGCGGCAGATCCTTTCCCTATTTAGCGTCCAAACTCTGGAATAACTTACCTAATATTGTTCAGGAGGCAGACACACTCTGTCAGTTTAAATCTAGATTAAAGACCCATCTCTTTAACCAGGCTTACACATAACACATTTCTAATATTCAAATCCGTTAAAGGATTTTTAGGCTGCATTATTTAGGACAACCGGAACCGGGAACACTTCCCATACCACCTCTGTTTCTCTCTTATTCCGAGGTCACCGTAGCCACCAGATCCAGTGTGTATCCAGATCAGATGGTCACTGCAGTCACCCGGATCCAGTCTGTATCCAGCCCAGATGGTGGATCAGGACCTAGAGACGACCTCTACAGCCCTGAATGTCAACGGAGATCAGGACAACTATATGAGCCCCAGAGACAGATCCCCAGTGAAGACCTTGTCTCCTAGACGACCACCGGGACAAGACCACAGAAACCAGTTGAGTCATCTGCACAATGTGAATTTGCTGCAGCATGGATCAACCTGCTGGTTCGTCTGGCCAGAGGAGAACTGGTCCCCCGACTGAGCCTGGTTTCTCCCAAGGTTTTTTCTCCATTCTGTCACGGTTCCTTGCCGCTGTCGCCTCTGGCTTGCTTAGTTGGGGACACTTAATTTCCAGCGATATCCTTGACTTGATTGCACAGATACTATTTAAACTGAACTGAGCTGGATGATGACATCACTGAATTCAATGATGAACTGCCTTTAACTGAAAATTTAGTGTTTACTATTGTCATTTTGCATTATTGACACACTATTTTCCTAATTAATGCTGTACAGTTGCTTTGACACAATCTGTATTGTTAAAAGCGCTATATAAATAAAGGTGTCTTGACTTGACTTAAAGTGATAGTTTGGTTTGCAGAGATCAAAGCTTGATCTAGCTCAGGACTGTTTTGATTATCATAACCCTATCAGGTATTTTAAGAGAATATGTGAATAAAATAGTTTATCCAAAAATAAAGTGTCTTAACTCTTACCTTTTTGTTTCTTATCCATATGGCTTACAAAAGGAGATGTTAGGCAGAATGATGTCATTCAGTTGCTTTTTCATATAGTTTATTAAATGGTGAATGAGAGAGTTTCTCTGTCTGTCATCTCATTTTGTGTGCCAAATATATTTATTTGTATAAATTAACTGTATAATAATTGTAATTACATAATATGATTTTCAAAAGCTGAAGTGATTACCTTTATTAATTTTTTAGAATATGTATAACTGAATAGTTTAACTAATTGCAAAAGCTGAATAATCAAAGTATACGGATTAATCAGTGAAATAATCTATGATTTGTTGATTAATCGTTCTAATAATCATTAGATTAATCGATTATTAAAATAATCATTTGTTGCATACAGCCCTATTTCTCAATCGAGTTTTAGGTAATGTGACACCTATGGATCAGTGAAGTGGGAATAAACTACTGATAGGGGAAAACCATAGACTGTAAAAAAAAACATGGACGTAGTGTCCGTGACGTCACTCGTAGGGTTCAGAAGAGCATTTTTGAAGCCTAAAGTGGGTGTAGCCGACCGCCGCCATCTTGGCAGCGCGTCACTCCCGGATAATCGGAAATGGGCAAAAAGGTGGGACGTGGGTGAAGTTGAGGCACTAGTTGCTGAAACCACACCCGTCTATGGTGACCGCAGTGCTGCCGTGCAAAGACAACACGCCATAACTTCGTTTTTGGTCGAAATTAGTTATTGATCAATTCGGGAGACATATGACCTCCTTTATCATGTGTATAAGTATCTTGGAGAAAAGCCCAGGAGAAACCAATGCAGAACACAGTATCATCAGTTACCGCTCTTTGACTTTGTTTTAGATCGCTCAAATAATGTAACGGTGTTCTGCATCTGTTTAGCCATTTGTCAATATTACTGTGCCAGCCTGGAGTTATACGGTATTCTGCCTCTGTTTTTACTGTACATTAAAGTCTGCGCTTTTAAATTACGGTGTGACTTGTGTACTTTCATACATCTGTCGGCACTTCTTTAGACAAACAAATTAGATAGATCGCGATCGAACAAACTGCTCCATATAACAAATCAATGTAAACAAGCAATGACTAGATAACTTGGCAACAATAATTAATCGTAAATAATCTTTAAAGTTTTTTTTTTCTTTTTATAATGCAGATACCAGCTCTCAGTTGCCCACTTCTCGGCTGCCCACTTCTGCACGTGTGAGGAGTCGAATACCATGAGAGCGTATCACATAAAATCAGTTATTACTGTATGCAATTAAATCCGTTTCATACCTTTTCTTGTAACTCGATAAAAAACATTGCAATGAACATCATCGGAGATGTTTAATTCTGCTCATTCTGAGCATTATTCCTGCTGGCGTTCACATCAATCAACAAGTCGTTCTAAGGTTAAGCTATTTTCATTCAGTTCGATGTAAAAACAATAGGCTAAGTATGTCTTGCATCCGTTAATGTTAGTGAACATTGCAAATAAATTGGTTGCAAAACGGTATCCACTCACATTTAACTTTTTGTAATTGTTACGGTCAGAATTTTTTTTTAAAATTACATTAGATATGTTATAGCCTAGCCAATGATCACTAGATTTTATATAGATGTTACTATAATGATTCTGTAAATGGTGATCACCAGTTTTTTTCTGGACAAATAAAAATCTTTAAAGCCATTTTTCTAAGTTTCACAGTCTAGCGAGTTTCACACTCTGGAGCAGAGCGCCAGTCCACCTGTCACTCAAGTGTCCACTCCCTTAATTATGCAGAACTTTAAGGCTTAATATAATTTAAACGGATGAGTTATAAAAAAATTCACCCCCCTCACAAGTTGTCATGAAGGGCAAAATTACCTATATAGACCAAAAGCACTTTTTGTACCAGACTGTAAACATATTTTTTCTGCTGTAAAGTTTGGCATTTTAACATAGGGAGTCTATGGGACTGACTCCCTTTTGCAGCCAGCCTCTAGCGGTCAGTCGATGAATTGCAGTGTTAGTCACTTCTGTATTGGCTTCAAGTGAGAGACCGGGAGGTTGCCGTTGGGGAAAACATATGAGGAAGTCTTCAGCACAGGGTTGGCCCCCGAGGCCTGTTGCTCTTCGGTTCTTCCCTGGGCTCCTCACTGGTGTGTGTCCTAGTCTGTCCCTGTAGGTGATTTGCAAACTTTATTGTGCAACATCTCCATCCTCCATTGGAACATTAGTCATAGCAAAAACTATGACTTTAGAGAATGGGTGAATGACTCCAGTGTGCTGTAGTATAGCTTTTAAGACTGTGCGTGAGAGAGGTGGAAAGAGGTGACAGCACTCACAGCCCTATAACAGTTAGTATCTCAACAAGCTCCTCCAACAGTTCGGTGAAATGGGGAGGGACTGCTTCAGAGTAGTACGTAGACTGAGTAGGAGCTGAGTAAAGCTGTTAATTTCTCCTAATGTCTATTTGCTTTTCCTACATTCTTTCATCCAGTGTCCAGGTTTTACAGTAATGACAACTGCCCTCCCTCTTTGGACATTTACGTTTCTGTCGGTTCGTGTTTACCTTATAGGATGCTGCTGCAATCTTTACCCTGGCTTTAACATCAGAATTAAGTCAAGTCAAGTCACCTTTATTTGTATAGCGCTTTATACAATACTGATTGTGTCAAAGCAGCTTTACGGTGTCAAACAGGAAAATAGTTTGTCAATAATGCAAGAAGACAATAACAAAGAATCATTTTTCCAGCTAAAGTCAGTTCATTGATGATTCAGTGATGTTATCATCCAGTTCAGCACTATTCCAACAGTGTCTGTGCAATCAGTCAAGCATTCCCAACTAAGCAAGCCAAAGGCGACAGTGGCAATGAACCAAAACTCCATCGGTGACAGAAATGGAGAAAAAACGTTGGGAAAAACCAGTCTTGTGCCAATGGTCATCGAGGTGACGAGGTCTTCGCAGGGGATCCATCTCTGGGGCGCATCTAGTTGACAAGGTCTCCGCTGACATTCAAATCTGTAGAGGTCATCTCTATGTGCTGATCCACCATCTGGTCTAGATATGGACTGGATCTGGGTGGCTACGGTAACCTCAGAATAAGAATGAAAGTGACTAATATTAGCGTTGATGCCATTCTTCTTACGATGTAGCGAGTACATCAGGTGTTATGGGAAGTGTTCCCAGTTCCAGTTCACCTAATTAATGCAGCTTAACAATCCTTTTAACGGATTTAAATGATAGAATTGCGATAGTGTATTATGTGCATGCCAGGTTAAAGAGATGGGTTTTTAATCTAGATTTAAACTGACTGTGAGTGTGTCTGCCTCCCGAACAATGCTAGGTAGATTGTTCCAGAGTTTAGGCGCTAAATAGGAAAAGGATCTGCTGCCCGCAGTTGATTTTGATATTCTAGGTGTTATCAAATGGCCAGAGTTGTGAGATTGCAGCAGATGTGAAGGACAATAATCTCTTTAGATTATAGTCTCAAAAATAGTTTATTTCCCAAGTAGCTAACCTGTCCAAATTGTTTTGCAGGCTTACAGTGAACCATGTGAGATCTAAGAATGGCAAAGCAGATCTGTACTCTGATAAAAGGCCATCAAACCATGTTCGAAATAGTGGTCTTTTATAATCCAGTACCTTCTCTGGAGTATCAGCTATTCCACTGTATGCTGCAGCTGAGTGACAAAATCTTTCAGTGTACTCACTTATAGTTGCATCTTTCTTCTGCAAACAACTAGTGACTTTTGGCCAGTCTAACCTCAGACCAATAATATTCTGTAACACTCTCAGGACTCCTTCTCTCAAATCTTCTTTGCTGGCATGTTGAAACTCAGAATTATTTACCACACTTTCAAAATCATTGAAATCAGACTCTGTCAAGACTTGTGATACTAACTAGGTGACTTCAGCTAGGGACATATCATAGAGCTTAGTTTTTCTGGACAACGCTCTCCTAAACTCTGACAAATTTGCATTTACTGATGGCAAACTCTCAGCAAGTCTTTCTATGACCTCAGGACCTAGAGCTACATTGACTGCTTGTAACTGTAATATGGGGGTTGCAGAAGTAATACTTTCAACCCCTTCTACCCAACTCTGAGCCTTTTGTCTTGCTCCACACACTTCAACTGCATTTACATCTTTATCCATCAATCCAATATTGCCATTGTCCTCTTGTCTACATAAAGACTGTAAGTCAGGATAGCTTTCATCTGACTGCTGGTCTTTTGAGTCACTTTTGGTTGAGACCTTGTTATGGCCCACATTTTTAGTGAGACCGGACACTCTAGTTTGTTGTTTTAATTTAGCACTGAACACTGAAGTTGTTACTGTGCTAAGGATAAGGTAAATTTTCTGTGGCAGCAGATAATGCCTTTAATGTTTTTCTTTCTGATACATGCCACAAGTACCTTTTTGCATTCTTCAATTGACCATACTTTTTCTGGATCAATACCAAATTTCTTCAAATCCAATCTGATTGACACAGTCACTATTGAGTCCATAGACTTTCCTAACAATGAACTCATTGTCTGTCCATAAAGGGATAGCTAGCCCACATTTCCCAGTTGTTGGAATCAGCCTAGCATTCTTTCTCAAAATGTCTAATACCTCCCTGGCAAGCAGAGGATAAAGTTGTTAACACAGAATAACTGTTGTTTACCTTCCCTGGCAAAGCAGAGGATACATCAATAATGTCTCTGATAAAGCAGAGGATAACCTAGTTTTTGTTCTACATCCTAATGTATCCAACCTGCCTTGGCAAAGCAGAGGACCAAGTTGCTAACACACTGTAATTGTTGTTAACCTTCCCTGACTTAACAGAGGATGAACCTTATTCTCTGGCAAAGCAGAGGATAACCTTTCTGTTAACAAAACCCTGCAGCTGTTTGATATCACTTCTCTGATGGCACAGAGGATAACCACATGTACTGGTCTATAGTGGTTCTTTGGATAGAGTAACACTCACCAAATCATTGTTGAGCTGAAAAAGGGTCTGAAATTCCATCTGGAACGATGTCAAGCGAGAAGCTCTCTCCGGGTCATGGCACCAAAACTGTTGGAAACTCCAGACAAGGAGGCTCTTGGGTATTGTCAGCAGGACTCTTTACTGAGAATGTGCTGTGTGGTGCTGCAGTCATCAAAAGTCTTACTAAGGCATTGCTACAGTGTATTTAGCAGTTATGGTAAAGATGATGACATCAAATGAACGATTCTGTTAAACAAAGTTTGTAGCAAGAGGTTTCTGCTAGTCCTGTTCTCTTTATTGTAAGTCAAATGAGCCTGATTATTGAGTCTCTCATACCTTTTGTCTGTAATGGCTCTTGGTGCCTCTGCCCCAGTCTAGATTAGGACTGGTGAAATGGTGCAGGTTGCTGTATCTGAATACTTCATTTGCATGCTTTGTTTAAGGTCGTCTCCCAGATGCTTTGTCTCCATTTCTAAGCATTGCCCCCTAAATGTATATAAACTACAATGTATCACTACCTTAGTTAGACTTTTGATGACTGCATTCTCAATAAAAAGTCCTGCTAATGATATCCAAGAGCCTCCTGGTCTTCGCTTCCAACACAGGCCTGAAACATACAAACCACTGAAATCAATTTAAATCTGTTTAGTCTTGCATGAGTGATGCTGAAACAAAGAGGTTTAGTTTTTCACCCAGGAAACGCTGCTTCCTGTGGAACACAGTCTTCATGATGGATGATCTCTTAATCCTGGATCCTTGCTGCTGTCCACCTGGAGATGGATTGGATCATATGTGTCTGTGTCTACAGTGGGGAAAATATTTATTTGATCCCCTGCTGATTTAGTAAGTTTGCTCACTTAGAAAGAAATGAAGGGTCTGCAATTTTGATGGTAGGTTTATTTTAGAGGATAGAGACAGAATATCAGCCAAAAATATGAAATAAGTATTTGATCCCCTACCAACAAGCAAGAATACTGGTACCCACAGATTGGTTATGTGCCCATGTGGAACACAGATTAGTCCTGTCACTTTAAGAAGTTACTCCTAATGTCAGCACGTTAGGTCTATAAGACACCTGTCCACATAATCTGTATCTTCCATTCCAAACTCTCCCACCACCATGTGCAAGACCAAAGAGCTGTCAAAAGATTTCAGAGACAAGATTGTAGATCTGCACAAAGCTGGAATGGGCTACAAGACCATCAGCAAGAAGTGTGGTGAGAAGGAGACAACTGTTGGTGTGATTATTCGGAAATGGAAGAAATACAAAACAACCATCAATCGGCATCGGTCTGGAGCTCCGTGCAAGATCTCGCCTCATGGGGTAAGGATGATCATAAGAAAGGTGAGGGATCAGCCCCGAACTACATGGGAGGAGCTTGTTAATGATCTTAAGGCAGTTGGGACCACAGTCACCAAGCAAACCATTGATAACACTACGCCACAATGGTCTGAAATCCTGCAGCGCTTGCAAGGTCCCCCTGCTCAAGAAGGCACATGTACAGGCCCGTTTAAAGTTTGCCAATGAACATCTAAATGATTCAGAGAAGGCTTGGGAGAAAGTACTGTGGTCAGATAAGACCAAAATTGAGCTCTTTTGCCTTAACTTGATTCGCCGTGTTTGGAGGGAGAGAAATGCTGACTATGACACCAAGAACACCATCCCTACAGTTAAGCACAGAGCTGGAAACATTATGCTTTGGTCCTGGTTTTTTGCTAAGGGTACCGGACGACTTCACCGCATTGAGGGGCAAATGGACGGGGCCACGTAATGTAAAAATTTGGATGAGAACCTCCTTCCCTCAGCCAGAACACTGAAGATAGGTCATGGATGGGTCTTCCAGCATGACAATGACCCAAAACATACTGCCAAGGCAACAAAGGAGTGACTCAAGAAGAAGCACATTAAGGTCATGGAGTGGCCAAGCCAGTCCCCAGACCTCAATCTTATAGAAAATCTGTGGAGGGAGCTAAAACTTCGAGTTGCCAAACGACAGCCAAGAAACCTTGAAGATTTAGAGAGGATCTGTAAAGAGGAGTGGATCAAAATCCCTCCTGAGATGTGTGCAAACCTGGTGACTATCTACAAGAAAAGCCTTACCTCTGTGCTTGTCAACAAGGGTTTTGGTTCCTACCCATAATCATGGTTTTCTTGTTGCTGCTTCCCAGACTGTATCTCCAGCTGCTCCTAAAAAAAAGTATGTTAGTTTTACAGCAATGAATAAATAATTTAAACTAGTAGAGTTAGGTGGCGACAAATGAACATCTTTTCTTATAAGCAACTCACTGAATCATTGACTCGACTGGTTCATTGTCAGTCAGGACCAAAAGAATGGAAGTGAACCATTTGTTTATTAAAGATTTGTTAAAACTAAAGTATAATTTGTGAATGAAAAGTCGAACTAAACAGTTTATACACTGGTTTATATTTAAGTTTACGAAATGGCTAGCATGAGCATCATGGATCAAGTGTGAGTGACAGGCAGTCAAACAAACTACGGTTGGAGTTTAAAGAATTTGAAAGTGATTGATGTATAGTTTATCATGTTAAGCAGTTAAATTTCAAATAACTAAAAGGAAGGTATAACATTTTACCTCAGGATTTTACCTATGACCGCCTCATATGGGAGACTGCTTGTGCACTAATTGACCAAACAGGGCATTTATTTATTAAATTCATTTAGAAAACCTTCAAAAGTACAAAACACTACTCATCTAAAGTGACATTTTATGTTATATCGGCAAAAACTATGAATAAAAGTAGTTTTATAGTGTTTACCTTTTCTGCTGTATCCATCAGCTGGAAGTTGACCTTTGCAGAACAAAATGATGCGCATGCGCACTTGTGCAGTACTCAGACAGTGTCATGTGCTGGTTTAAATGTTCACATTTGTATCATGCCCTCTTTCAATAAATCTGTTATTAACAAACATAAAATATCACTATTTGCTAAGCAAACTATTTGGTTGTTGTTTTGTCCTTCTGATGGAAAATATTTCATATATTGTATATATCTATATTTCAAATATAATAAATCATGCCATCATTTAAAATGTTTGATCAATTCAGAGCATTTCTCATATTATATCCAAATGGCATACATCTTAACACAGACAACACATGTAATGCAATAATCTGACAAGTTATCTGGAGACCAGCTGACCACGTCGCTACAACGTTCTCCATGGGACTAACTAGTGGCGTCTTTTGAGGTAGTGCCCATGGTGTTTCTGCAACTTTAGCCAAAATTCAAAAAAATGGAATGTTACCACAACGTCCTCATGACACTGTCATAAAGTCATGTCATGCTGACCAAATGACGACCAACTCGCGACGTTGTCACAAAAGACCCAGAGCAAAAGTGACAGGGCATGATCGCCACATCTCGTTCCCTCATTTCAGGGAACCGAGATTTTGTCAGTAATCATAGATGTTCCCTTTCAATATCAGTCTCTCAATGTTGTGTCATACTGACGCTATGGGGAATGTAGTCCAAACATGCCATGTTACAATGAAGGGTGCCCAGCACTAGTTAATAGCCCTAGTCAGAACATCCCTCAAGGGGAATAATTGTATTCAAAAGTCAACCACTGCAGCAATTGCAGCACAACACATGACTTGTAACAGTGTGTCACCCACACTAGCACACAACCAAGATGACCACTGGACCCTATTGAACACCATCACTACAGGGTTCAGAATAAATGGGTTAACTTGAGCAACAGGTCAATTAGATTCCAATCCAATGGGACAGCCTCTGTTTCAATACCGGCAAGCCTTTAGTACAGCCCTCGAAGCAAACGAAGAGCTGCTCAGAGTATCTAAACTGTCTAGTGCACTAGGCCAAACTGAGAAAGGCACAGACATGTATGGGGCAAAGCATATGCCCCACAGCCAGTTCGCAGAGAGTAAAAGCTGTTAGGGTTATAACCTGGTTATAACCAAAATCCATGCAGGACTTGCTGACTGAAAGAGCATGTATTGCTTAAATATTAAATCTTACTGATCCCAAATGGCAGTGTATTTAAAAATACAGAACTGACACCATCATAGCATTTTTGTATTTTAGCCTAGTATTTTTGAGAACACAGGGACTAGGACTACAACAGCATGTGATCACACTCACAGTAATGTAACATGTCATGTTACACTTCAGGAAAGATGCATCCAGAGGCATATGTAACCAATAACCCCCCGCAATAACAAAAAGTAGCAAGTACAACCCCCCCCCCAATATTTATGGTTAATGGAAACCTAGAATCAGGCTAATAATTAATTATTTAAATCGCGACTTTACGTACAAACCAAACGGAGCAGTTATCACTATGACTGAAGCGAAGTACACTCACGAATCAGTGTATACTCTGCGCGCGTTCACCAACGTGCTTGAAAAATGAGATGCACTTAATTCCCACCATATTTCTGATATTATCTATCAAACTAATCTGATTAATTTGATCGTTCGCTTTTATTCTAAAATCGTGAGTGCAGAGATTTCAGAATTAGAGACACACATTCAAATTTTAATTGAGGACAGTAAGAATGTGAGGGCTCTAGATACGGCTTTGGATGCGACTAGCTCACGGAGTTCCGTACATTGTTCTGTTCCAGTTACAGGGTTAATGGAAACCTAGAATCAGGCTAATAATTAATTATTTAAATCGCGACTTTACGTACAAACCAAACGGAGCAGTTATCACTATGACTGAAGCGAAGTACACTCACGAATCAGTGTATACTCTGCGCGCGTTCACCAACGTGCTTGAAAAATGAGATGCACTTAATTCCCACCATATTTCTGATATTATCTATCAAACTAATCTGATTAATTTGATCGTTCGCTTTTATTCTAAAATCGTGAGTGCAGAGATTTCAGAATTAGAGACACACATTCAAATTTTAATTGAGGACAGTAAGAATGTGAGGGCTCTAGATACGGCTTTGGATGCGACTAGCTCACGGAGTTCCGTACATTGTTCTGTTCCGGTTACAGAGCCTCTGCAGCAGGGCGACTGGGTGACTGTGAGGTGGCATAGTCACGGGTCAAAACACCACTCTACCGTTCCGATCAAAACATCAAACAGGTTCTCCCCATTCAGTGATGCAACCACTGAGAAACCTGATGAAAGTGTTCTAGTTATTGGTGATTCTATTGTACGGAATGTGAAAATAGAGACACCAGCCACCATAGTCCAATGTTTACCGGGAGCCAGAGCGCCTGACATCTTGGCAAATTTAAAAGTGCTGGCTACATTGCGCCCCATGGCAGCGACATGCGGGACCTCCATCATAGTGATGTCGAACTCCTACGCGTCCTATCCAAGGCAGTGGATGAGCTCGGTTTGGAGTGGGTGCCTCCTGCCGAGCCAGCCAGAAGCCATCTGGACGATTGGTACCTCCAGTGAGACCGCAGCCAGAAGGACACCCTGAAGGAGGCCCGACCTCTTTTTCGCAGAGGTGCACGACGAGTTAGCGAAGTCGTGGAATGCGCCGCTCACCAGTCAAGTGCAAGTCCTCTCTCTGTCTTCTGTGGACGCCGCTGACCAAGTGGGGTATGTTAAACTACCCACCGTGGAAGAATACTATTTATGTAAAAGCTGTGTAACTTTGATGTGTTTTAATGGGCACACGCGCTGAACATTCGAGTCGCATTTAAACCATGATTTAAACAAGAGCGGAGGGAGTTACCCTGGAAACGGGGCAGCAAGCCAGCAACTCAACTGACAAGTAGCAAAACTCCATCTCTCGCTGTTATTTTCACTGCTTTCAGGTACATTTAGTCCCTAAAATTACACAAATGTTGAACAGAAGCGTGTCAATTACATGTAAGAATGTGTCAGGAACAGTTGTATGTATTATTTGTCTAATTTTAGGGACTAAACGTACCTGAAAGTAGTGAAAACAGCAGCGAGAGACTGAGTTTTGCTACTTTGAGTTGCTGGCTTGCCGCCCCATTTCCATGGTAACTCCCTCCACTCTAGTTTAAATCATGGTTTAAAACGTCCCATTAAAACATGTCTAAGTTACGCAGCGTTTACATACAGTAAATTAAAAAAACTAACTCTAGCACTTTCTATTCTATTTTAATTCTACTTTATCTATATTTATCTTCTTTTTTATTTTTTATTTTAAAAACAAAAAACAAACAAACACTAGCTTTCTATTTTTTCTAATCTACTTGTTTTTCTTTGTGTGTGTATGTGTGTGTGTATAATATATATATGTATGGGTATATGTGTATGTGTATGTGTATGTGTGTGTATATATATATATATATATATACACACACACCTTGCTACGTGTACTGCGTTAGGCTAACCGAGACTTGTCATTTGCACTTATATATTGCTGCTCTTTTGTTAGTTTTGACTGCTTTTATTGTCCTCATTTGTAAGTCGCTTTGGATAAAAGTGTCTGCTACATGACTAGATAAATAAATAAATAAAATAAAAATAAATAGTACAGAAAAGTCAGATAAAATATCCTGAAACTTGATAACGTATTGTTTAAGTGGATAGCAGGCCTACATCAAACTGTCAATGGAATGATAATATGAAAGCAGTATTGAGAATATAAAACAACGTTTGAAGTCAGTTTATATATAATAGGCTATAAAACAATATAATATTGTAATATACAGGCACGTGAACACATAGACATCAAAGGGGGCTTGAGCACCTGCTCTTTTTCTTCCTCAAGAGAAAGTGCCCTTTTTTCTGGGGAGTTTTTTATTTTATTTTTTATAAATGAATATATGTATATATGTGTGCGTGTGTTTCTGTTTGCGCACAGCTTTCCCAGTCAAACAAACAAAAAATCAAAATATCAGGTCGGGTCAGGAAATGTTGAGAAATGCTCCACACATTGATCGGCACATGCACATGCACATCACAGTCACAGACAGGCAGAGATTAAGCTTTCTCTCCCTTTCCAGTTGTGTTTGTCTTGGTGTGGAGGTGAGTGCTGATGAACAACAGACTACGCTACCTGTGCCTTTGAATTTACAGCTAATTATCCAAAAGGCAAATATAGTTAATTTGTCTTGCTAACATCTATGACTCATGAGAGCTACCTGGATGTGAGTTAGCTAAAGTTTAGCTAAGGCAATAGGAAGTCTAGTAGGTTAGACTAGTGCGCGTTCTTTCACTGCATGATTCAGTTTCTTAAAATGCATTTAGAATGATCACAAAATTCAAGATATGGGGGCAGAAATGTATATATTTATATCATTTCATATAGTTAATCAGTATCACACAAAGACTGATGTTTTTTCCACCAAAAATCAGCATGATTGCAAATGTGATATTGATATTATACAGCAGTTCAATAAACAAGAATTTAATATTAAGACACTTACGTTTTAGACACAATATTGACTGTTTTTGCTCTATTTTGCAATGAAATATAATTCCAATTTGCGTCTCTGTGCAACATGACTCTGTTTTGAAGCAATCGTTTAAATGATTTGGTTCAGTCGCAATGACTCACTTATTAACAGCATTAAACATTATGAACATTTAAAGTATCTTTTCATAAAAAAAAGAAATTCAAATATCAGTATTATTTTTTTAGTATTAGTTTTATGTTTAAAATATCAAAACAGTATTAATGCATTTGTAACTGCAGGTTAAATGCATTCATGTCCTGCATTAAACAGTGAGTAAATGCATCTAAATGCCACTTCAGATGCAGCTTCTGTGTTTTCTCTGCATTGCAAAGATAAATTTTTTGACAATACTGATTTAATTTGCTTGGTAACAGCCCAAATTACGTATTATTCTAATCGACTGATTCGATTTAAGCATTTGACTGAAAAGATGATGCACATATTTAGAAAGAAGGGCTTTATGAAAGTAAAAATGCCCATAAAAGATAAAAAAAAAATTTTTTTTTAACTTATTGGAAAAGATTACTTTCTATCACTGCTGTGAACTGATGACCACACAAAATATGCAGAATATGAAAAATTTTAGGAGTCAGCTGTCCACGGTAGTCCTTCAGATGTCAGCACACTAACACACTCAACAAAATATCGTCTAATTATCGTTATCGATAAAATCCCAGAAAATATTGAGATATATTTTTGTCAATATCGCACACCCCTAACATATTTAACGTTTTGTTTAGAATTTTTTTTAATAAATATTAGAAATGCCCCTTTTTCTACTTGAGCCCCTGCCCCTCAAAATGTCTGCGCACATGCCTGGTGATATATAATATAATATAATAGATAGATAGATAGATAGATATAATATAATATAATATAATATAATATAATATAATATAATATAATATAATATAATATAATAGCTTTAGAAACAGTAAACGTGGTGTAGAAATAAGGCATGGATATATTTTCACAGACACACACATATAAACACATGCAACATGAGCTTTATGTTCTATGCATTTTTAACATATATTTTCAAAATATATTTCAATATATTTAAAAGTGTTTCACATATATGTGAATCTATTACATTTCTGTATTGGACCGCACAGAACAGTGTAAAAACATCAAACATTTAAATGAACAGAGACAACTGAAAGTAAGCATTCACAGAGCCTATTACCTTTAAGTCCTTTTGATATCAGATGCTCGGCTGCATACTGCTGCATTCAGTCTCATCTGTTACTCATCACTGTGTCGTTTTAATGTTAAAATGTTACTGTTATTTTACTAATATGTTTACACAAACAGAACGTAGCACAGGAGATTTGGCATGGTTGTATTTTGGTACTGTCATGAAATTTTTTAAACGCCTTATTCCAACGTCCAGATTACGTTATTTTAACACCTGAATAAAACGTCTCCCAAAAGTTGCAGATTGGTCTGGTTTTGTTTTCGTTGTAGACGAACTTGATATTTACATTTTTTTTATTACTTAAAGAAAACATACCTGGTTTTTTTTAAACAGGTATTTTAACAGGTATTTTCAACAACGTTTCTAAAACATTTCATTTTGGTTACATTATTTTTTATTATTTAAAAAACGTTTTTAAAATGTTGTACTACATTACCTAATTGCAACCAAAATACAATGTTGTGAAAAGTTGTAAAAACGTTTTGTGTTTGCTGGGAAGCCTTTGTAAAAAATAATGGTTAGCACATTTATTTGTAAGCCTCAACAGCTGTGTTGAATTAAGGTTCAGTGTTTGTCATGTGACAACACTGTAGCATACTACTCTGAAACATTTTTTTGCTTAATGTATACTGTTTCACACACTATTCTTAAAAAAAATAGTAGGCAGTATGCACTGTATACCGGACAGTAGGCAGTAAGCATTATGTTATGCCATTTCGAACACAGCCTGTGTCAACGCAACACTGACGTCTTCACTTCCAGGTCAAGAAGCTGTCAGTCAAAATACGAATTCCAGATATCTACTCTTAAGGTTCTGACTTGTCATAATTGGCATTCAGATATCTACAACGTAATTATGACATTAGCAATAATACACTGAAGATATCTACTAGGGAAATGCCCAAAGCTGAAAACCTAATTCAGTAATACATGAATAATGGCTTTAAAATTAATTCTACCAAATAAATATTTGTGAAGCAATTTTCGGTTTCGACTGATATAAAGGCCAAAATCATTGACTGAAATAGTGACGTTTAATTAGCCTTTCTCCTTTTTGACTGATTTATTGTCTATTTCCTGTACACATTGTGGATACCTGAAACAGGTAAACTTGTCAGCTGTGAGGAGCCTGGATTAACACTATTGTTTTCTTGTTTTAATCGATACTGATATGGATTCTTAAATCTCAAGATCAATTTTCTTTTTGTGCGTGAACTTCAACATTCTATTTGACACAAATGCAACACAACGCTTGCTTGCTAAACGCTTGCTAAAACACATGCTTTGTTCCTTTGAGTATGAAAGTCTACATATTTCTAAAGTCAATTATATCATAAAATACACACAACAAATACCGTATTGTCCCCAAATCCAGGTGTGACAAACTTGTTGCATCTTTCCCAAAAAGACTCATGGCTGTATTAGATCAAAAGGGTGCTTCTACTAAATACTGAGCAAAGGGTCTGAATACTTAGGACCATGTGATATTTCAGTTTTTCTTTTTTAATAAATCTGCAAAAATGTCAACAATTCTGTGTTTTTCTGTCAATATGGGGTGCTGTGTGTACATTAATGAAGGAAAAAAATTTACTTAAATGATTTTAGCAAATGGCTGCAATATAACAAAGAGTGAAAAATGTAAGGGGGTCTGAATACTTTCCGTACCTACTGTATATACACTTTTTGATATACCATTAAAAAAACCAAAAAAAAAACAGGTAGCCCATCTGAATTAGGACATTTAGGCTATCCATCTAATAGTAGCCTACCAAAATCTTATTAACAGTAGAAGTTGAATCTTACTGTAGTCTTCAAATCTGGGTACTGTCTTATGTTTTAAAATCACAAAGGGAGTTTGGTCCCAGCAGTCACTGTCACGACTCATGCAGCTGTAAGGTTTTCTTTTTCTTTTGTTTTTTCTCCCGATCTTTACAACACACATTGCATTACGTATTTCATGGCACACTCGTTTTATGCGTATTTGGCGCCACCTATTGTTCTGGGTGTATTATTGACATGTCAAAGTCTAAACCCTGAATATAAGACGACCTCGTTTTTTCAGATGTATTTCCAAGAAAAAAACATCGTCTTATATTCGGGTCAATACGGCATTAAAGAAATGTTGAAAGAAACAGTACAACTTACTGAAATGTTTCTGCAAATGTTTCAACCCCAAGATGTCAGTAAAACAAAAGGCATTAAATGTCAATAAACTAGGGGGGAAAAAACACTTTTCAGTAGAGAGGAGCATTGTGCTATTATGCACTATATTACATATTTATTATATTTTTTACTTAATGTAGTCTTATAAAATGGACAACCAGTTGTCAGCCCTACAGGTAAGGTGAAATGTAAAAGAGCACTGGTAATAAGCTGCATATTCAAATGAACAGAAATATTGTAACCTGTAACTTAATAGCCTATGACGAATTATAAAGTAAAATAAAAAGACACCACTTATATATTTATTATATTATATATTAATATATATATATATATATATATATATATTCAGACCACATCATTTTGAGTCCTTTCATGGTTCTATTAAGTCTAT